GCTGGGGAGGCCGCCTTCCCCGCGCCGGCCGCGGAGCCTGAGCCTGGGCGCAGCCGTGGCCGCAGTGAGACGGGCACCGGCGTGCCCAAAAGGCGCCGGCCTGTCTGTGCAAAGTTCTTCTTCCAGAGCCCCGGCACCAAAGCCCCTGCTCCACGCGCCGGGTGCCGGGGCAGGACGGGACCTTCATCGCTTTTTCCATGAGAGAGGTGGGAGCCTGTCAGCCAAGAAGGCAACTGGTGTTACGCAGCTCTTAGTTGCTTTCCAACTTGGAGAGGACATAGTCGTTTCATTGAGAGTGCAGTAACACTTGTATTGATTGAAATTAATTGTATGAGATCTGCACGATGGCTGGTTTTCCCCCTAACGAACTTGCAGGTTGTCCCAAGAGTCACCCCAATTACCATCAAAAGGTTTGAGCTGAGTTTTTTCAAAGTAACTGAAGAATGTGGGTATTTAAATCCAAAGAAGTGAAACGGCTGCTTGAATCTCTAGCAGTTCTTTATTAGGTATTTTCTAAGGACTATGAATTCAGGCTATTGTTTTTCTTTTTTTTTTTTTCCTGTGAAAAACTAACATTAGTATGTTCTTTTTCTCTCTTGGATTTTGTAGCAAAGATGCTGAGCTTTTTCCGTCGAACCCTTGGTCGGCGGTCTATGCGTAAGCATGCGGAGAAGGAACGGCTAAGAGAGGCCCAACGAGCTGCCACCCACATCCCTGCGGCTGGGGACGCAAAATCCATCATTACTTGCCGAGTAGCGCTGCTGGATGGAACAGATGTCAGCGTGGACTTACCGGTACGAGTGATGCAAGTTTGTTTTTTAAATACCGTTGGCTGTGTCAATCTGATTGTGCTCTTTGCTGTTTACAAGTTTGGTAAAGGTATATTTATTTGTTGTAGCAACTGACCCTGTGACTTTGGGTCACTAAGTTACTGGTCGTGAAAAGGTACTAAAAAGAATAGTTAACTTTGTCGTTCGCCGAGAGCATTTTGTTAGGTGTCATTGTGCCTTATACACTAAACGTTTTCTAGCGCGTTAATGGAATTGTTGTGCCAAGGTTTAACTTAGGGAAATGTTTCAGATGAATTGGATTTTCTTTTCAACGAACTATGTATGCATCTTGAGAAGGAAGGAAAATCTCTTGGTGTAACTCTGTTGAAGAGGAGGGATGAGCAAAAGTACTAGCAGTAATTTCTGTGTGAGTTCTGTTTGTTTTGATTTTGTGTCGGGGTGGATGCAGTTTTTAACGCTAACTTGAGAGGGGAGGGGAAGAGAAGAATTCTACTTCCTTCCCCTCCTCAGGGCAGATTATATAGCAGGAGTTGTCTCATAGCATAGTGCTTTATTGCGACTGAGGTGTTAGCCGCCGTTTTACATTTCTAAAGCTCCCTTAATATACACATGTCTGTTCTGCTCTGCTTAATTATATACCTGTTTTTGGCCAACAGGATGAACAGTAGCAATGGTAGGGATGTGCTCTGTTTTTCTATTACCATGTGTTATAGTTGTTAGTGACTTGTTTTGAGCTCACGTAGTTGAGTTAGGAAGCTGTGGGTGTTCGAGGCCTTCTGACTAGTCTTAGTCCGGACTAGGATTTTGGCTGTAAATAACAGTTGCGCTAACGTTGAAGCTGCTGGCTAGAAAGAGCGTGCAATGGAGCTGATTGAGCGTGATTGAGCATGCAATGGAGTCTTGAAATGGCTTTCCTTTCCTCCCTTCCTTATTTTAAGCACAGTTCTAGAGTGTTTATAATGTTAGGTAGTCTGAGGAAGGCTCAACCTGTTAGAGTATTGAGCAGTGTTGTTGACATAGCAAGCGGAAATAACTTCTTGTGGTATCCAGAACCCCAAGTAATCTAGAATTAAAGAAACGGTTTGGCGTCTTTATTTGTGAAATGACCATACAGATAGGCCTTTATAGAGGGCAGTAAAACTAAGTTGTACATCTCTGAAACAATGTAATGAACATATCCAGTGCTGCTTAGTGCCTGGGACATTTAATTTGA